CTGTGGATCTTGATGTCTGCTGTGCCACTGCTTCAAAAAGATGCTGCAATATATATCTGGGGTCTGAGGGCTTGTTCCTCCACTTGTAAAAATTCTTTACAACAACATAGTAAATCAAAGCACATCTGCAATTGCGTCTTCAGCTATTTCAGTGTTTAGATTTTTTAAACAAAGAAATAATGGAAAGACTACTTCTTTGTAAGACAGATCTCTGAGGTGTCTAGAAAAGTTATAGTTTCAGGAAAAGCATTGCTTTATGCATGTTGCCGCTTCTTCTGTAATGTTTTAATATTTGGGGGATGTTATAGCGTCACTGTAAGGAGACTGCAGGCGTAACTGCACTGGTTTCATCCGCGCTCTTCTTTTCAGGCAGAGATTTGCTTTACCTTCATTAGGAATTTTGCTATTAATATTTTCAGGGTATGTGTCAAAGAAATTGTATGAATTAGCTGACTCGCGTACAGGGCAGTACAGTCAACTCCATTTTTGATTGTTCTCTTCCAATAATCAGGACAGCCGCAGCTTAATAGATTGAAAAGCCGGAGGTAAAGGCGTGAGGAGCATCAGTGTGAAGGGGAACAGAGAGTTGAATAAGGAAGCCAATTAAACAAACACGCCGTACGTTTTTAGGAAGCCTGAAGGGAAGTGTTATGCGTCCTTATTTGCTTTTATTCCGTTTTTAGGCCTCTGCCTTGATAACCGCATTTAAAATGCTGATTTCCAAATGACTGTTGCATTTGAGCTCCCAGTCTTCAGGAACGTTTTATCAGGTTTTTGGGGTTCAGTTTCATTTTCTTCTATATTACAATGTGCAATAGCATGCAGCTGTTCAGCATGTTGATAGTGATAAGTTGCACAAAATACCAGAACAATTCCTTCCAATGTTTAACTGGGTTTCTGCCTTCAGTTTGGAGCAGGTATATTGTTAGAGCTGATATGTAACAGATTTTTAAAATGGAAAAATGGCTCTAAATCCACCACTTTTTAGCACATAGGTGTTGAGAAGAAAGTCCAAAAGCGTTTACAGATACTCGTCAGCAGCAGCATTTTGGCCTATTTTTTCCCGTCATGGAGTTTGATGCTTTTTCTCATATGAAGAAACGCATTCAGTAGAAAGTAGCTTAATTAGAAAATATCACTTTCACGACTCGATAAATCTTTGGACCTTTCTGTTGTCTACGTGTCTGGGTGAAGTTGAGAGGCGTCCATCGCAGTCGCTGCAACTTTTGGCGTTCTTCTTTATGCGAGGCTGGAAGACGCCCGGCGTTGTGAAAGTGCAGCTAGCGTTCAGGTCGCTCTCGGAAGGGTTTGCAGGGCTCTGAGAAAGTTTCCCTATCGCTTAACGCTATTTCTACCTAGTGCTTTCACTTCTGCAGTTACCTAGAACATGAATTAAAGTGGGGAGTTAAAAAGCCTGTTAAAGCAGAGCAGTAGATTTTGTAGCCGCAGCTGATCAGTGGACTTGAGCAAACATTTTTGCCTTTTAACAGTTTGAAGACTGAGAATGCAGTGGCATGCCTAGAAGTGAACTTCTACCTTGCTTAATTCGCTCTAAAATTCAGGCGGCGTTCCAAGGCTGAGAATAATATTTTCCGACTAGCGTCTTTTTTGAAAGCCCATGAAGAGAAATCTTATGGGAACTTGAGAGACGGTTCAGAAGTTATTTGCTGGAAGCACACGTGACGCGGCCCACCATGCTTGCGTCTTTGTAAGAGAAGAGCGTGAGTTTTGTAAGGCAGCGCTTTGTTGTTTTTTAAAAAAAAAAAAAAAGGCGGCGAAGGCGCGCGGGTCGGCGATCGGCATGCCCAAAGCAACGCCGTAGCGGCTTCAAGTGCCAAATTGCACACAGGGATAAAAAGAGGATGTTGCAAGAAAAAGGGAAGAATGAGAAGGGGAACGGTTTTAGCTGCATTCCTTCCCTGAGGATCGGGGAAAGCTGCAGAGGAGAGGGTTGGGGTGGTCTGCGAGCAGGCCGCCGCCTCCGGCGTGCGGTTCGTTCCTGGGGGCGCCGGCTGCGGCACCCTCGTTTGGGGCCGACTCTTGCTTGTTGGTCGTAACGAAGGAGGACTTTGAGGGTGAAGGGAGGGGGGTAAGAAACGTCTCGCTCCGTTAAGCGCTCGGCTGTGAGCACTTTGTCTGGGGGACCGGACCGGCGCTGCTGCGCGGCCTCGTCGTAGCTCGCTCGGGTCTCCCCAACGGCGGCGGGGGGGCTTGCCGTTCCTTCGTTCTTTCCCTCGCTCTTTCGCTCCCTGTTCTGTGACTTTACGGAGGAGTTTTCCGCAGAAGTGGATGGTGCGATGTCCGTTGTCTGCCTCGGTGTCAGTCTGCTCGGTACAGCTGTGGAAACGCTAGCGCGGGAGCGAGCGCCCAAAACGAGAGACTTGCCCTTCCGCGTCTTCTGTAGACGGAGCAAGAGCCATGGGAGAGATTCAGGTTGTGAGTTAAGTACAGTTGCAAGTTACACACGCCAGATGCTTGTAATCTTGAAAATGAACTGGTGTACAAGAGAAATATCAGAGAGCCACCTTCAACAGCGCAGTGGTCCCGAGAGCTTGTCTCCTGCGATCTCTGCGGTTACCGTGGGTCCTTAAACTCCCACGTGCTGAAGAAAAGCAGATCTCCGATTTGGTGCTTGAAATGCAAGTGTTTATAGCACTTGCCTAAAAATAACCGTTTCCTCTGCAAGGCGGACGCTGCACAGAGCTGTGATGCTGCTGTTGGCCTTCGGTACCAGTTAATCTGGGGACTAAGGGCAAAGCGCTGAAATGCCAGGTAAGAAAATGCAGAGTACTGAGTGGGCGTAATCCACTCCCACAGATCAGATAGGTTATTTTCCCCGTGTTTTAAAACGTATGACTAAACCGTTATCTTAGTCTTCATTAAAAGAACAGAATAATATACTGTGTGTTTTTTTTTTTTTTTTTTAATCTCAAGAACACTTTATGTAAAGCACATACTATTTTTGGCAATCTGTCCTCTGGGAACATGCGTCCAATTTGTGCCTGTCAAGAAGAAACAGTTGTACTTGATTTGGTTTCCTACCTCCGTGCAGATAGGTGATTCATTCCTCACATGGTTCGCTCTTTTGCAAGTCAAAATCATGTGCTTATTTTTCGAGTGCCGGCCCTGCTGCTGCTGCTGCTGCTTCCCCCAGTGCCGTAGCTGGGATGGGTTGCTCGCTCCAGTAGCGTGCTCGGCAGCAGGAGACGGCGAAGATGGGCAGAGCTCGGAACTCATCCGCTTTAGAAGCGTTGAATTGGCTGTTGTAAAGCTTTTGTCATTAAACTCTGGCCTAATAGGCGTACTGTTGTGTTACTTTTTAGTTTTACTGTAAAGGTTTTGATCAAGTTGCTTGTAAATTAAGTGGAAAAACAAGCGAGAACAGCAGCACCCAGAGGAGAGTAGGTGTTGGAGCGCTAACGTTGCCCTCGGTGCAGAAGGATCTCTTTGGGGTCCGAAGTGACAGCTCATGTCCCTGGGTGGACCATGGTTGACCTGAATGCTGGGCAGTGGCTGGGAATGCCTGGATTGCTCAACTTAAATCACTGTTCAAAAGACAGACAGAGAGGATATTGCAAGAGTTACTTTCCAGCAAGCAGCGTGTTGATTGTCCTTGTCGTCTTCCTTTTTGTATTAGTGTTGCTGCTGTTAATAAAATCGGCTCCTTGGGCTTGGCACAGCAGGCAGAGACAGACTTTTAAATGCTTATTAGTTGGTTTCACTGGCTGGGTGCTTCACGCCAGGGAGTAGCGGCACTTACTCGTTTTATTTTAAGATGCTTTCTGTATAATGGTAAATGTAAAAGCCAAATTGGGTATACTAATTCAAAAAAAATTTTTTTTTCTTTGTAGTTTTAGTACTTACCATCTAGCTTCTCTTTCAGCTTTTAAGTCTTTTAACGTTTAGGCCTCCAATGCAGAGGAGGGCATGAGCTAATAGTCTGGTATTACCTATGAGTGTGAGACTCTGGGCACTCTTTACCGTATGTGCAGACAGTAAGCTTTCCTGTTAGCATGTAAATACATACGTGCTTGTACCAAAAGTAAGAATCCTTGTTTATGCTAAAAATGCAGACTTGGGTTTTCTCAGCATTTTTTCGTGTTTGTAGCATATAAAGGTTTTGTCGCCCTACGCAGCAGGTATGTGTTACGCTCTTGGAGTACTAATTTCTATGACATTTATTGCCAGTATTAAAACAGCTAGTAAGCAGTGTAAACTTATTCAAAATCTGGGGACTGAGCTCTTCAGCCACTTGTCAGATAGGTGCATCTGGTTTTAAATTAGTCCTGAGGCATGATCCTCCTGGATTGTTTTAGGCCATTACCTATGGTTATGGAAACAGCTTTAAAACCCCAAAACTACTTTTGGGGAAGCACTTTCAATAATAATCATAGGCTGCAGAAGCAGCAATTGTTGCCCAGCGATTTCATCCCCAAAATAAACTTGATAAATGTAGGTTTCACCTCTGTTTTGATAAAGGGATCAGAGTGCTACTAAATGTTGTTAAAATGCTTAGAAAATGTTTATGGACCTTCGGCTCCTGGTTCTATTCTGTACTGCTCAGCAGCGTGTGACGGGGTGTTGGCTTTGTTGCGATAGGGTTAAACTAACCTGATGAAAAGAAAAATTGTCATACTGTACAAAGACTATTCTGAAATCTGTCAAATAAGTGCCTTAAATAGTGGTGTTTTGTTCTAGTAGCGCAAAACATTAACAGCGTGCTTTTCAGTGAGGGGCTTCGTCGATATAGCTGCAGCTCTACCTCTTTTTCCTAGAAACCTAACGGCTTACGCACGATACCTTGGTAAATTCTCTTGTTTTTAATAGCACATCTTCTAAACTCCCCTCTGTCGTGAGCCCCGGGAGGTCACCGAGTGGCACAGAGTGGCAGCGTGGTCCCTGATGGACACCTGCGTGACCGTCTGCTTCCTCGCTTCTTCAGGCAATTTGGGAGCTGCCGGAGGGGGGGCTGCTCGGAATGAGATTGTTGATAGCGTCCCTACGAGGACTGCTATTAACAGCATGCTGCTCTCCGCTTCTCTGCTGCAGAAGCCAGAGTGATATTTGTGTTCCCATAGCATGTTGTAAAATGCATGAGGTTTTTGCTCATCCTCCCTGGAAATGAGGATAGGAAAATGAGAGCATCCTGAAGCAGAAGCTGTTAGAAGAGCATGCAGAAACCTGCAGCAATTTATGCTTTATTTTGTCTTCCTAGCTATGGATTAGAAGGACTGATTTTTTGCAATGGGCTTTTTCCATAATGGCATTCTTGTATTGTTTGGTCAGAGCTTGCACAGGAGGAAAGCAAGCTGCTGAATTTAGTCACTGATCTCGATTAGCTGTGGCCTAAGGCTATGCTGAGATTTATATCCCATTTGTATTGTTGCAGCTCAAAAGAAGAATGTTCAGAGGATGACAAGTGTATTCTGAGTAGGTATGTTGCTTCGTTTTCATATGAAACCCTTTTTTTTTTTTCCTGCTTCCATTGGTCAGAAATCAGGTTACTAGGAAGAGAATATAGTACAGTGCTGCAGTGTCCCTGCTAAGGTAGAACAATAGCATCAGAAATAGTTCTTTAAAAATTAGCTGCTTTTATTTAATAAAGCTGCATTGTGCTGGTGTGCACAGTGCAGTCTTTTTTTTTTTTTTTTTTTTTTAAAACATATACTGCAGTCAGCGCTTCCCTAACGAGGTGGCACTATTGTTGAGTTAGAACGATAGAATCATCCTATTGCTTTAGGGGACAGCAGGATTTAAAAGGAGATGCCTTGCAGCCCCGTTGTACAGATTGGAAGCATCGGTTTAAGGGCATTGGCAGAATCATTTCCTTGTTCTTAGCAGCAGCCACTGCTGTGTCGGTAGCGTGTGGAATGGAAGTCCTAGTTGGTAGTCTGTTATGGAAACGCTGTTTACTGTTATTGTAGTACCGTGGTGACAACATGCCATTGAAATGGAAAACGAGCTCTCCTGCTATCTGGAAATTCCCAGTTCCTGTGCTTAAAACATCCAGGTCATCGCCACTTTCTCCAGCATACATGTAAGTGAGAGAAATGAGGATAATAAGGTGGGATTTCTTTCGTGAGACTACCCTGTGGCAAAATACCCTGTTGTATATTAAATGACATTGGCACTCAGTATTTTACCTTGTTTTTTCTATGTGGACCCTCAGATTTTATCCTGGATGTTTCATGATGGATGTTGTGTCGAGTCTTTCCCTCTTTGTTGGAACGTAGAGAAACTGTGCAGATTGAGCTATACTCGTAAAAATATCTTAAATGTTCATTTGAAAACTTCATGTTGATGTGAATTTGTAGAGCTGATCTTGAATTGACAAGTTGAAGCTTTGAGGCAGGCTTTATTTGTAGTGTATATGCTGCCATTCCCTCCTCCTGCAACTGAGCGTGGAATCACCTGCTGTATTGTAGTGCACTTTTGTTTCTGTGAGTTCTTGTATTTACCAAAAAAAAGAAAAAAGAAAAACCCTTGCTTTGATCTTGATCTATTCTTTAAAGTCCTAGCCTTAATACAAATGCAATGTCTTATATTTTAAAAAGTTACAGTAAAAGCTTCAAACATAAATGTAAATCATTAATATCTGTATATATCTATATTATATATAGATATAAAAATATATATATAGAGAGAGAGAGAGCGCGCGCGCTTATGCAGCTTGTCCATGTCAAGAAACTTAATACAAATAAATGTTTCAATACACATGAAAACAGTATGCCTTTGTTCATCTTGCCAAATCTTGGTAAAGCTTATATTCACCTTTTATTACTGTGAGCTTTGTGTTATCGTATACAGGTGGCTTTTTCTTTCTGAAATAAAACTAAAAGTAGGCTCCTCTACTGGCTTTTGTCTTTGTTTAAGGAAGCAGCTCTTTCAACATGAGGAAGAGTTGCTTTAAAAAATACGCATGTGTAATATTGCAGGTGACTTGTGATATCTGGAAAATTATTATAAAGCTCCTGCTTTCCAGTAGTATTCCAGCATAATAGCTACTATAATTGTACTTTTAAGCTTATATTGTCCTTTTGGAGATAGGCTTTTACTTCCTCTGCTGTAGGTATATGCTGTAAGAAATATGTGTCAAACATATTTACAGGTTGTGTAAATATATTTGTGTGTGTGTGTGTGTTTTGAGAATTGTGTTGTTAATCGGAAAGGCTGAAACAATGCAAGAGGCACAAAAGCGTGGTCACTATTGTTCTCGATGAGAAAGGCTAGTGTTTGAGGAGCTAACCTGCCAATATATAACCTATGCTGTGTGTGCTCTGATTTTTAATATTAATTTTCATGAAAGTTCTTCAGCCTTTTCTTTGGGTACATCAAACATGCTTAAGGCTATTGGAAAATCCAGCTATTTCCAATAAATTGCTATTTGCGATGAGTTTATTAAAATATGAGTAAATGCAAAAAAAGTATCATGGCAAAAAGAGTTGTGAGGACTCCAAACCTCTTTCAGGGAAATAATGAAGTTGAGTGTTATCTGATATTTTTAAAACTGTAGGATTTATAAAATGCAAGAAAAATAAGGAATAGGCTAGTCTGATATACCTACTGCTGAAACTGAACGTTTCTTTCATGGGTTGCCTTTAAATTGCTAATCTCTTCTGTATATGCTCCAGCAGTTATTATAAGGATCATATGACTGATTATCTCAATGTGTTCAAAGTATGTGGGCATGTTTAGTAATCACGCATAACTATATGATGCTGCCCTTATCTGGAGCATGAGAACTATGTGATCAGCAGTCTTAATCATCATTTTATAATAATACAACGTATCTCAATGCTCAGAGATGTATTTCTTCACTGATGCAGAGTCCTGACATTAGCAGAGCTTTTAAATGTAACATTAAAATTATTCATCCATCATATAATACGGAATGAGAAACATTGCAAAATGGCACCTATTTGATTAGATAGTATACGTCGACTGCTAAAAACAGCCTGTGATTTAGGTTGACCAGTAAAACAGGCGATGGAATTCACTTTATTTTCATTGCAAAGATTACACTACATTTGCTAAATGTTTCACATGATCTGCAGGGGTTTTTCACATCGGTTTCTTTCATGAGTAGTACTCTGCGTGTTGGGAAAAGACTTGACGTTTCAAGTAAGACTCAAGAGTAAACGAAACGTGAAAAGGAACATCTAGTGATGTAAAATATATGACCATAAGACACTTGCATTTACAGATCAACATTTTTATACTTTACGTTTTGGATTTAGAAAATATAAATGTATAATTGAACCCTTATCCCTGTAATACTTGGCATCTAAATGTCATTACAAAGTAAGTTTTTAGTGTAATTTGGAATGTAAAGTATATTGGTAATAGTAGGATGGTTTTAAAGTTTTTTTTATTAATTTTCTACGTGAAGTGAAATCGGAAACTCTTCAAATTTTTCTAGTAAAATTCACCTCAACTTTAAATGCTTCATCCTGCTTATTATTTATAAGCAACTTATGTAGGGGTTAAGCTGAATGTCAGGTACCCTAGATTTTATTAGTGGTTTATTTGCTTGGCGTACGCGATACCTGAACTCTGCCATAGTTTCGCTGTGTTGGGAAGCTGAGACTTGCGGTTATGAGCCCGTTCGGTGACTTGGATGAAGCAGGCATCTACGTACAAAGTACCCCCGTAAAATGGTTAATTGTCCTGTGAGTCGTGTAGCTGGACCAGTCTGCCTGCAACGTCTGATTTTAAGGTTGGTGGTGAGTTCCAGAGGTGCAGCGGGAAGACAAAGGGCTCACTGAGGAGGGTCTTCTGCTGGACGAGGTTCGGACCCAGGTAGCACGTGAAAGAAAGCGCCTGTTTAAGCTGAGCTGGGGAGTTTGTAGACGAACACATACTCTGTTAGTGAGAAGTCTGCTGTTTTCACTGGTTCTGCTACGACTTTCCTGGCAATGGAAAGGAGAAGCAGTGACTCGCTGCTTCTCGGTTGGTGCTGTTGTTCCCCGCCAGTTACAGTTACAATTCACGGATATTTTCAGGATATCTGTAACTGCTGCAAGCAGTAGCTCTTCAGGTTACACAGAGGGCAAAGTGTCCCTCTGCAGGGAAATGCAGACGTCCCCTGACTTCTGGTGGAGCTGACCCCAGACAGCTTGAGCTTTTCCACCGGCTGGGTGAGAGGTGCCGGGGTGGTTTCTGGGGAAGAGCAGGCGATATCGCAATGGGAGCATTGGCTTTGAACAACAGCCACAGGTATAACGCAGCCTGACTGTAGCATTTGAACTATAGATTTGCAAGCCTGTATGCACATGCATGGCTTTATCAAGTTGTTTTACATTGTCTTTCGTGACACTTACGTCGCTGAAGTTGAGGATATAGGTTCCTTCTGTAGAAATGAGTGCAACAGCTATTAAGCAAGTGTATGCCCCGCCAGTGAAATTTTATATTCATATCTGCTGTCGCGTGGACTCTTTGGGGCAGACCTGGGTGACTGAGTGTTGTCAGGTGAGCAGTTTCAGCAAGTGAATCGCAGGAAAGGACAAAGTGGGTAGCAGTGGCTTGGAAATGTGGCATTCCTTGGACCTGTAGGCATGCGTTGATGGCTACAGGTTAAAAAGAAGCAAAACACCCTGGCTGGCATAATTAGAAGTTAAGAATTGAAACGCTGCTTTAGAGAGGGTAGGGAATAATACAGACTTACATTATATAGACACAGTTTAAAGTGTCTCAGAGCAGGCATCCAAATTATTGAATGATCACAGGTCACGTCATCTAATACATTGCAAACTTAAAGGAGAATTCTCTCCTTCACAGTAGCAGTATGTCCTTAATACTGTTTTCCAAAGTTGTGTGGGTTTCCCATCAACATGATTGAAGAGCTGTATGTGAAAACTCTCGAGATCAGTCCTACAATGCACACCAAAAAAGAATTCATTAATGCAAAAATACTATTGCTAGCTGTTTTCTGAAAAGTTAGATGTTAAATGTTTTCAGTCTTCAGAAGGCAATATTTGAACAAATAAGTAAAATTTAAAAAATCCTTGATGCAGAATAACTGGTTTGTAAACGTAGTGCCTTCTAGCTTTTGATGTTGAACAATGTTTTGATACTTCAAATAGAAGCTACACTTTGAATGTGTTTTCACAAATAACTGACTAAAGTTAGGTGGAATAAACGAATATGATGATACACGTGCATTATCACCTATCAGTCGTTTGCAACAAAGTGTGTCTATCCTGAGTTGTGTGTTTTTAAACTTGTCTGATAGGAAATGCTGTACAGTAATGGAAATCAGTTACTATGCAGAAGAGTTGAAGAAATGTGTAATACTCAGGAGTAACCAGTGTTAGTTTTAGCTGCTTATGTAGATTAAAGCTTTTGTGTCTTCTCCCAAATCTCCAATTTGCTCTACAATGAACTTAAATTTATGCTATATAATGTTGTGTACTTAAAAGGGAAAAGATGTATCTG